ACCACCCACATCCCAGAACATCTGCTTTGGTGTGGTGACCAACATATTCTCAATAGTGCAAGAGAGGTCAGAGGATTTGATACCAGAGTTAAAAATGAAATGCAAAGGATGGTGGGAATGTGGTAGAGCATATATTTAACATGCATGATGCCCTTGGTTCAATCCTCAGCACAGAAATACAAGGAAGGAGGGAGGAAAAACAGAAGGAAAGGAAATGAAAAGAATAGCAAGAGACCAAATAGTAAAAGACGAAAGGAAAGGAAAGGAGAGGAGAGAAAAGAAAAGAAAAGAAAGGAAAAAGACAAAGAAATTAAAAAAGAAAGCAAAAGCTTAGATACAGGTGTTTAATCTGATTCCCCTACTTACTGGCTATGTGACTTTGGCAAGGTAACTTCGCATCCTCGAGCTTTTTCCCTCCCAGTGTTAAATGGGAAAAATGACAGGATCTACCTTCCAAGACTTGGGTGAATATTAAATGTGATAATAAATATAACACTTAGTATAGTACCTAGTCTATATTATGAGTTTATTTTTTTATAAGTTTCATTCATTTAAATGAGAAAAAAAGATAAAATAGCAGTGAAAGATTTTCAAAACAGGTTAGTAGGATGTTTCCAATAATTAATACATTGCATATTGTTGTCTTCACAGTAGTTATTCAGAGGACAAGATGCAGACACCATTTCTTGTCTAAACGATATTAGTACAAACTTTTATTGTGTGTTTATCAAATTGTTAATATTTTCATTTTTCTATGGCAACAGAAGGAAAGGCTACATCCCTTTGCATATGCAGCCTGTCCGAGACTAGGTTTTGTGTCTTGCTCAAATTCCCCAAAATAGAACAGAATAGGACTCTCTTCTTCAAATCTTGTTTCCCCTCCAGTTTCTTTGTCATGACAACTTCCTAGGCCTCACTGCACAAAATGAAGGAAATAGGAAAGTACTAAAGAATGCCAACATCCAATGATTTACATATTACCTTCTGTAATCTAATTAATATCATACTTGTGCAATTCTGGTTGAGTATCCTAGGAAAGAAACAGTTACTATGTTTTGGAGGTCAGTTATTTTTTTTTTTTGAGGAACCTGGGATTGAACTCAGACCCTTGTGCTTGCCAGGGAAGCGCTTATTCTACTGATCCATCTCCTGGGCCCCCCAGGTCAATTATTTGAAACATCAATCTTAAGGATGATCCCTGCATTGGTTTTTATTTTCTCTTAAAATATAAAGTGATTCTTTTGAGATTGCTTCTATTGTACTTTTTATAGAATTAAAGCTAGCTCTCCATAATGGCCTAAATATTTCATTAAATCAAAAAATGACCATGCTCTGTAGGAATAAAATAAATAGATATTGACTTATTTAACATATCAATAAAATACCACCTTCAAAAGTAAGCCTTAAGAAGTCTGGAGTTCAAACTTATGGAAAAAATAAGTAGGAACATAAAGAAGTACACAATACAATATGGATAGTATTATGTAACATTAAATATGACTATTTGTAATGCAAATTCAAAGAAAAGAGAATGGTTTAAGCCATGTGCAAAAAAAGTAAGCTCCTGTCTCAGAGAGCTTAAATTCAGTATTTGGTACCACATAGGCATTTGATATACATTTGTTTAGTGTTAAGTTAGAACTTGTACCCTATAAATGTTGCCATTTGAACTAGATCTTAAAAACTAGGTGAGATTTGCATTTGTGAAGGTGGGAGAAGGCATCCTAAGTAGCAGGAAAAGTATGAGAGAGGGAAGATTGGTACAGTGACCAAGGAACAAGCAATGTGGTTTTAAATGAAGGCTGAAAGGAAAGAAAAGAAAGCATAGGGATTAAGTCTCATACCTTAAGTTGGGACCAAATCAGAAAGGCCTTACATGCTACAGTAAGGAATCTGATCTTTCCAGCTCACCTCTCTGAAGCCCTTGAAGTGTTTTGAAAGAGGGCAGTTAGGTGATTAAAGCTTGTGGTATGGGAATCAAACAGCAAATGTTCTGAAAAAACCAGGAACAGAGAGAGATTAGATGAAGGGAGACAGGTTGGCGAAATACTGAAAGTATCCAGGCCAGAGACAATGAGGGCCAGAGATGAGATAGCGACTGTAGGAATAAGGATTAGGTTCAAATTCTAGAGATGATTATAGCATTGGCTGACTGCTGGAAGGAAGAATGGGCTCAAAGGTGATTGTAGTCTTAAAGTGGATTACGAAAGATATGTACAGTGTCTTTCAGAAGCAGGTTTTCATTGGAAATTGTTGTGTTTCCCATTGGGTGGTTTGAATTTGAAGCGAGATAGGACTTCTGAATAGATATAATTGATTAAACTAGTTGATGAAAGCTAGCTTCTTATTGATTGAATTAACTCATTTGGACCCTTACATTCACTTAGGATCACTTCAATGGGACTCAGTCACTTGGAATGGAAAACTGCACCTTGTGTTTGTATTGTGGTTCCGGAGGGAGGTTGCACTTCGCACTGTGCATGTCTTCTTGTGTTAGAAACTGTCCCAGTAGACCTGATTAAATGGAACTAATAGATTAAACTAGTAAAGACAGTAAAGAGTGAGTGTTAAGAAATAGTGAATTTTTTCAGGTGAATCTTATCTAATGAAGCATCAAGATGGTCTATATATCAAACATATTAAAGGATTCCTATATTCCACTTTCTATTTTTGCTGTAACATTCTGAAATTTTGAATTTGAAATTATTCAATTAAATAAAGATTTAATTTATAATTAAATCTAGTTTCTTGGAAAATCATTGTGAATACTAAAGAACTGTGTCTAAATAAAAATTTTACCATATAATTTGTTTTAACTTAATTTCTATAAATGCTAGATTTAAATAATTGACACATTATTATACTTTAAACACTTTTTTTTTGAGACAGGGTCTCACTACACAGTTCAGGTTGGCTTTGTGCTCACTTTTTGTAGCCCCTGAGCTGATCTTGAACTTGTAGCAATCCTCCTGACTCAACCTCCTAAATTCTGGGATTACCACCATGCCTGGTTCCAATTAAAAGACTTTTTTTTGGTGGAACCTGGGATTGAACTCAGATCCTTGTGTTTGCCAGTCAAGCACTTATCCTATTGAGCCATCTCCCCGGCCCCAAGACTTTTAATTGGATATTAATTTAGATTTTATAGTTTCTTGTGACTTTTGGGAGCAAAGGGTTTGCTTCTGGTCTCAAACACACACAAAGGATCACATAAGACGTAATTATTGGACAAAGTTCATATCACCTAGTAGGTAAAACAGCACCATTTTTCATAAAGTGAGTACTCAGCTTATATAAAAGTTCTGCCCTTCTACTAAGGTATAGTTGTTTGGTGCATTCTTGGGCGCTACAAGCATAAGATAGAGCAAAATATTCTGGAACATAATATTAAAGCAAATACCACTTACCTAAAGACAATTTCCCATGTACCCACTGACATTCTCTCAAGAGTTAGTTTTTTTAAAAAAAATCTGGAAACCTGTTGTCATTAACATGTGTTGCTATCCATGTCGCCATAAAGCAATATATTGTCCCAGTCACTTTAGGTATAATAAGAATGAATATGTAGTGTGATTAAAATATAGAGTGAATGTCAAATTTAAAAAAAAAGATTAGAAGGACATTTTTTCAGTGAATGTGATGGCACACACCTGGAATCCCAGCATTCAAGAATCTGAGGTAGGAGGATTGCATGAATTCGAGGCCACCTGGGCTACATAGTGAGTTCAAGGTCACCCTGTATTACATAGCAAGACCCTGTCTCAAAAAGCCAAACAGAGAAAGAGAGAGAGACAGAGAGAGAGAGAGAGAGACAGAGACAGAGACAGAGACAGAGACAGAGACAGACAGAAACAGACAGACAGAAATAGAGACAGAGACAGAGACATGTTTCCATTAGTCCTCCTCAAGGCACTTCACCTCACTTTGAATACATTTATCCTATTATTTTTACCATTTTGTGAATCAGTTCTGGAAATCCTTTTTCTTGAGTACCTTTAAAAGGTGTGATAAAAATGTAGTTTATGCAATTTTTGGCTCTTTCCCCTATTTTAAAAAAGATCATAAAAAGTAAACATTTTTAATGAATTGAAGACTTTGAGGCAGTTTTGACAGTGTAACAAAATTTACCTACAAAATAGGACTTCCCAAACTACTTCAGAAAGTGGCCAGAAAGATGTAGTAAATGTGCCGGCAGCAAGAGGGAATATTTTTTTTATTTCATTTCATTTTTTGGCGGAACCAGGGATTGAACTCAGGTCCTTGCTCTTGTCAGGGAAGTGCTTATTCCACTGAGCCATCTCCCCAGCCCCAAAGGGGAGTATTTTGTGGGGAATTCATGAAAGTGTGCCTTTTACTACAATGCATTTTTAAAATTAAACTTTCACAATATTTTGCAGTCACACTGCATAGAGAGGCCTAAATAAGAAAAACAATCTTTAGTAGATGCTTAAACTTCAATATGTAAATCACTCAGCATCTGTATCAGGGAAGTCAAATATTCTTTTGTTTACTTATTAATAAATTCTATATATTGTTCCTTCTCACAGTACATACATCTAGGGGGCTTGCAGCTTAGCTCAATTGTTTAAGCTCCTGCTGAGGCAAATCCAGTCAGGCACAGGGGACCATGGTTCGATCCCCAGATCCCCATGCCTTACTAGACCTGCCAGTTAAGGCAGCCTGGGCCAGCCAAAAACAGAAAATAAAAAAATACATCTAGCTGGCTCCTCTCAGATATATAATTCCATCATTCTACTCTATTGAAAGTATTTTCATGATTATACAAAATCCATATTAGATTTTTAACCATAGATTGAGGTCATTGAATGTAATAAGTCTATTAATAGTATGCTTACCACTACTTCAGGGGCTTTGTTCTCAAAGAATGAAAGTTAATTCTAGAATTTTCTTGGACAATACACACAATGACACAAACAAAAAAGATACAAAAGAACAAGGTGAAACATAGGACAAAAAAATAATAACACTGCCTCACACCAACACTGTCCAACAGAAATATAGTAGTAAATATTTATAACTTTTCTAGGAGATATAAAAACCAAAAATAAAAGGAACAAATTAATTTTAATAATATACTTTAACCTCAGTATATTGAAAAGTTTATCACCTCAAGATATCAATTATTAAATAATTAATAGAATATTTCACAATTTCTTCCTATCAAATATACAATATCAAAGATGATTTTTACATTTATAATACACTTCAATTCATGCTAGCTGGATTTTAATGTTTAGTAGCCATATGTGGTTACTGACCACCATATTGGATACTACACAATTATACCACAATTAATGGTTTTGAACCCTGAACATGCATCAGTATCACCTGTGAAGCTTGTTATAAAACAGATCACTGTACCCTACTTTGTGAATTTCTGATTCACAAGTCTAGTTGGAACCTGAGAATTTACAGTTACAGATTCCTTGATGGTGCTAATCTAGGAACCACATATTGAAAACTATGAGCAGATTTCTTTCAAAATCCAACTTTAGAACCATTGAGCCCCATACATTAATGTGATTGATCAAGAATAGGCCCTAGGGGCCTGGGGAGATAGCTCAGCAGTCTAAGTGCCTGCCTGGCAAGCACAAAGACCCAGGCTTGATCCCTGGTACCACATGATGTGCCATCCCCAGGCACCAGGCTGGCCACTGAAACTGGGTGTGGTGGCACATGTCTATAATCCCAGTGCTGGGGAGCCTAAGGCTGGAGAATCACTATTAGTCTGAGCTGCATAGTGAGAACCTGTACCAAATAAATAAAAGATTTTTTTAAAAAAGGAAGAATAGGCCCTAGATACTATGGCAGTTGTTAATTTAGTGATACTATTCCAGTTTACAAATAATTTTAAATTATAATTTGTAGGTTGATATTGAGAGATTATTTATGCAGATAGGTATTCCTTAGATCTTTAAAAAAATTTTTTTAACATTTTATTTTAGTGTGTGTGTGTGTGTTTGTGTGTGTGTGTGTGTGTGGCCAGCTCAGCCTACCAGGGGGCGCAGCTGGCTGGCATGTGGTGCTGGGGGATCGAACCGCAGTCCCTGTGCTTTGCCAAGCTTGTTCTAAGTAGGTACTTTAGACCACTGAGCCATCTCTCCAGCCCCAAGTATTCCTTAGATCTTCATGTCTGTTACTATTTGAGTGCTTCTTTCCAGGAGGCTGAACAGTGAAGAAACATTTATTGCCTTGCTTGTTCTTAGTGAGTAATTTACAGAGCTGTAATACCATATTCATGTGCATGCTCTGACCTTTAGACAGTAACTTTCTCCAAATTGACAAACTGTCAGTCAGCAAATTAACAATGTACTCAGTACAAATTAAAGGATTTAATGTCAATTTATTTTAATGCATTTGTGGATTTCTGTAATACTAAACTTTAAAACATCAAGTGAATAAATATGTCTCTTTTTTTTAGGTCAGTGAAAAATAAAAACAATTGTTTACATTTTATGGTCCTCTCAACCATAACATGAATTTATTTCTTAATGCAAGCAGATCCTAACCACCAAATTCTAGATGGTTCTGCTCATTTGTTACAGCTATTGTTCCCTCCTATCCCTAAATGCATAAAGGTTTCATATCTATCGAAAAGCAATGGGAAGTAAGTATCTGATCTTTAAACCTTTTTGTCCTAAGAGTACAAAAACAGCCTCTGAGCCTCCATTGGCTCCTCCCGTATCTGAAGAAGAAGATGAAGAGGAGGAGGAGGAAGAAGATGACAATGAGCCCCCACCTGTTATTGCACCAAGACCAGAGCATACAAAATCTGTAAGTCACAAATCACCAATTCTAAAAGATGCTCTTTGGAACATAGAATATATTTAATTAACTGGTACCTATTGGGTAACTTTAGTGTTTCCAGAGGTAGAATATGTCATGTAACCTTGGTTTTGACTGTTCTATTGAAGCGTACTAAATAATCACATTAAATAATGAGAGAATAATAGCAAAGCACAACATAAATAGCTACTAAGGTATAAAACTTTTGCAGAATTAATGTAGGGAAGGAACTCCAAGTGAAGCAGACAGGAAGAACTGCATAGACAGAGGCACCAACATCAGAACTGACAGGGTCATGTATAGGAACCTGTCAAGATGAGCTCTCAAGCTCTGTTAGTGGCTCTTGACTATTTGAAACTATTTTAAGCTATATTGTTAAATAGCTAATAACTTATCTTTGAAAAGTCCTTGAAATGACAATGCCTTGATGCTATACATATATACATTTCTTTTGTTCTCCTGTTTTAAGTGTAGAATTTTTTTTTCCTTTTAGATCTATACTCGTTCTGTGGTTGAATCCATTGCTTCACCAGCAGCACCAAATAAAGAAGTCACACCACCTTCTGCAGAGAATGCCAATTCCAGTACTTTGTATAGAAATACAGATCGACAAAGGAAGAAATCTAAGATGACAGATGAGGAGATCCTAGAGAAGCTAAGTGAGTTTTGGTTTTTGTTTTCTTGGAGTTTTGAGAGTTTTTTTGTTTATTTGTTTTTGCTCTCATTGCTTTCTTCATGAGAGGGTTTCTCAAAAACTATTTAGAAGCAGAATTTACTGCTCAGAAGTCTGAGTCTGTTTGCAAGAACTCCGGGATCACTTAAATCATGAGATGAAAAGTTAGGGACCTATTCTTTGTACCACATCATTCCCACCTTCATACTCCTAATTTGACAGAAACAAAATATTTTCACTTGAAAAAGTCAATTAAGGTGACAACTTCACAAAATGTATTCAGTAATAGTTTCAAGAGTGGATTAATGAAAGTGGTGAAATGGTCTGATGAAATATCGCACCACAAGGGTTCCAAATGATGGATCATGATAGAAAAGTCAACTGTATGCCCAACATGGTCAGTTAAAACTTGCAACCATAAATAATGTGACCTTTCCCCTTAATTTAGAAGTACTTCTATGTGGGGAGAGTGGCGGAGTCAAGAAATGACTTGTATAGCAGTCTTGTGTGCCAGCACACCCATATTGTTGCCCTAGTTTTACAGAACACTCATGCTATAAGCAATGTTCTAGGTAAGAAAAAAAATTAACTATGTTCTCTGATGAAAAGAGTTAAGACCCTGAAAATCATGTATTTTAAATTCACTCAAAATTGCCCCATATTAGCAATTAGTGCACCCAATTTGACTAACTCCTACTCATCTTTCAAAGCTCAACTCAAAAATTCCCTCTTCAAAGGAACTTGCCTTCCCTCTTCCAATCTAAGAGCCTTTATTCTTTATTACCTTTGTCATAGTAAAAACTACATCATACTAGCATGTTCCCTTCACTAGTCTAGGATCTTCTCCATTACAAGAGCTACGTGTTTTTTTTCCTATGTGTGCAACTTCTAGCAAGTTCCTATTATCTGAAAGTTCTATAAATGCTCATTGAGAATGTAGTGAGCTCCCAGTGTCTGCTCTCTATGTCAGAACTTTAGAAGATACAATGGAAAGATCATTCTCTGACATCAAGAAATATAAAATTGTCTTTGAAAAGTACAATTTAGTAGAATAATACAATTAGAGAATAAGAAGCTTTTTCTTTTAATATAATTTTTAATCCAAAAATATTTGAGAAAAACAAGAGCAATTCCATGTTTGAGGCACAGGGATGCTGTACAGAGGTGGTGTTAGGACTATTTGCCTTCCAGGGCATATCTTACTATGTTGAAAGGTAGTTTCTATCCCAATTCAGAGAGTGTCATTGCATCCACTGGATAGGGTTAAGTGGGTTTCTAAGCATCCTACTGTGCACAACATACTGTCCTGGCCTTTCATGAGGAAGTATTATTCATCTCAAAAGGTCAAGCATCTTGAATTTGAGACATTTGGAGGTGCAGGGATTTGGACAGACAAATATTGGGGTCAGTGTGTCACCTGTTAGTCCACACTCCCAACTTGAGTCCATGGGCTTTAGCACACTGTCTTTACACAATTAAATATCATTTCCTCAACCATTTGCTGTATTAACAACTACAATAACTCTCATTTACCAAGTGCTTTCTATGCTTGCCACTTTACATACATTACCAGGGTTAAATTTTTTCGATAATCCTTGTAGTAGATTTGAACTTCCTCATTTTAGAGATCACTGAAAGCAAGCTACAAACACATTAAGTAACCAAGTCCCTAACTAATGAATGGCAGAGCTAGAGTTTAACTTCACATCTGTATGCCTTCAAACATTACACTTTGTTTCTGTGTACCCTAACAATTTGTATAAAACAGAAAGATGGTTTGTACACATGGACATGACCTATAAGATGGTTTGATTTTTAAAGTTTTTGCAGCCCTATACTAGTAAAAATGACCACTATTTAGTATCTTATTTCTAGTTTCAATAGACTTATTGTAATGAAAATGTATTTATACATTTGTTTTAAAGTTAGTTGTGAAAGATGCATTAATTTTGAGTCAAAACTTTTGCTTTGCTCATAAACTGTGACAGTGCTGGAGCTGTAGCCTTTATGAATTGTTGCCTATTCTGTTCCCCCTTGAGCAACATGATGAAGACTAGAAAGCAAAAAAATCACAGATTTATTAAGAATTAAATAGCTTTTTTTTCTCTTTTGAACTTTATGTTTGGGTTTAGAATCATTTTCCTTCCAACCTTCTGACTGCCAACTTTTACCTCGTACTTGTTGGTCTTGGCGGAGAACCTGCAGAGAAATGGGAAGGAGCTGCTTAAACACTAGATCGAGTCGAGCTCCATTTCCAAGTCTACATAGTTGGGCTTTCCAGGCCTTGTATTTCTTAGCTGTCAAATGGGGATATGAATCATAGCTACATGTAAAGCTTTGTCTATAGGATATATTTTGGTTAAGAGTTACAGTTAAGAGAACAGTGAGAATCTGAAAACCCAGATTCAAATCACAGAACCTTTATACTACCAGCATCACTTTGTGCCAGTTATTTAACTTTTCTGAACCTGTTTAGTCATTTAAGAAGTTTAGATAAATTTATAGAGACTTGCTTCCAAAAATAAATTCAATAAAATGGCTGGATATGTAATTCTGTGGTGACCCTAAGTGCAATCTCTAGTACCACAGAAAAAATTTGAGATCGTAATAGTACCAACTTCATGCAACTTAATAATCAAATAAGAATATTACATGTTTAAAAAACCCTCACAATGTACCTGGCGCATAGCAGGTCCTCAATACATGATATTATTCTATTGTCTTTTTTTTTTTTTTTTCAGAACCGGGGATTGAACTCAGGTCCTTGCACTTGCTAGGGAAGCGCTTATTCTACTGAGCCATCTCCCCGGCCCCATCTATTGTCTTTTTTATCAGCCTGCCCTGGGGGTGGGACTGGCATGGAATGTGGTTCTGGGGATCAAACCACAGTCCCTGTGGTTCCCTAAGCTTGCCTAAGCAGGCGATTTAGTCCACTGAGCTAGCTTGCCAGCCCTTTATTGCCTTAACCTCTCTGAACGTTAGTTACTTCACTTGAAAAGTGGAGATAACTGTACCTACATATCAGGGTTTTTGTGAAGCCTAAATGACTTAAAATATGTAAGATATGTAGCACAATAAATAACATGAAGTTATTATACTACTTTTACGAAATGAAAGTAACCATATATTTTAGTACAAAAATGGAGGAACAGAGTCTTACAGTACAACAGAATGTTGGAAATTGAGAATAATCTCCTGTGTATGTTCCATGTACAGGAGTCATTGGAGATCCTGGAATGAAGGGTAGCATTACAGGTTGGGAAAACAGTAGAAGTGCCTATACTGGACATGAGGAAGGTGATGGATGGGTGTAGACAGAGGAATGGCCGGCAGTCCACAGCAAAGAGGACCCCACAAACATGAGGAAGAGGAAATAGCAGCCTTGATGTAATCTTCCTCCCCTTCTGTCTTGGGGATGCAGTTGCCTGGAGGCGGGCAACCCAAACCCCAGGGCTTCAGGCTATTCGTGTTCCATTCAGATACTTACTGAAGGACCCAGTCAAGGCCTGACGAGTGACTGAGATGAACAGTTCTGCTTTCAGTTTTACACTGACAGACAGCCTAGGTCCAGCCAGTCCACTGTACTCTGGCTTGGCCTATTGCAGGATGATAAAGAAACCTCACCATGCTAGTCAACATTTTCAAAAGGTTCTCTCAGCAAAATTGGGCAATAGAGGAAATTTGTATTTGGTCCCCTCCTCTAGAGCCAGACATCATTTACTTCTTCATTTCTTCCCCTCTTCCAGCATTCCCCAACTCAAAATTCATTTCCTTAATTTACCCTCAGGTAGAACTGGCATTTAATTTAGAGAATTATTTTGTCCTTTTTTTTCCCCTCAGTAATCATAACATGCATTACACTAAGGGGACAATCTTCAAATAATTTAAGTTTAGCATAGTTTAATATGTCAGAGATTATATTGATAGCCTTTTCTGCCACTGAGAACACAACATGAATTCTATTTTTCAACACAAGAATTTAGTGATTCCTTAAAACTTTCTACTTTAAAATGGATGATTTGTTTTCTAGTTAAGAAATTTCTGTGGCAGGAAGTTGTTCTGATATTGCTATTATTTTTTCCCTTTGGATTTTGATATGCTAACTTTTCCCCACTTTTTTCATATTGTAACATGATGGCTTTCCTTTACTTTTCTATAATTTATAAATGCAAATTATAAGGAGTCTGAGGGAAGAGATCACCTTTAAAGTTGATTTTATGACTGGGAGTTGTAAACAAGGCCTCCTGTATACTTGTTAACTAACATCAGTAGATGGCAGCACACACTCTGTGGTGAAGGGTAATGGAGGTGAGGAGGCCATTTTATTTGAAATGCAGGAGCAGCGTCTCATCAAAATGGTTGTCTTTTTGTAATCCTCATGAAAGGATTTATTTCCAGGTGATATTTTTCCCCACTTACCCTGGAACTAAATACTGAATAATTTACTCCTCTAAAGGCTTATTAACAAAACACTACCAATTGGAGGTACTCATAATTCAGAAAGTAGCTTGGGCTGAAGTTTATTTGCTTTTGATCAGTCTATGAAAAAGAGTTTGTTCAGCAGCCTCACAGTAAAACTGTCTTAGGAAGCTATAAACTGCTTAATAAAACTATGGTTTCAAGTAACTTTAAAAATCAACTTTCATTTTAAAAATGATATAGGCACTTAATCATTACTAACTGACTTGAAGGAAGATTGCCGTCAGTAATACAGAAATATGCTAGAAAATTTGAAAAATAAACTAGTGACTCAGATATAGCTAATTTGGTTGAATTCTATAGATATTGCTTAAGAAATATGCATTCTTCAACTGACCTTAAACTATAGAGCATTTGAAAGGGAGATGTCAGAATTTTATTTAAGTTTAATTCAATGGATATTTAGTGGGTATTTGAAAAATTCCATACACAGAGTTAGGTGAGAAGGCACTAAGATGACAAAAGTGAATAATACATGCCTCTTGAATTTAAGACACATTCTGAAAAGGGTTGTACGCCTGATAGAAATATTGTATGTTAAAGATAGAGAAAAACAGAAAGAAGTAAAGAGAGAGAGGAAAAATATATTAATGAGTCTGCGTAGACTTTAGGGGAAAATGGAGTTACTAACCTTCTTCCAAGGGATCAAGGAGGGCTTCCTAAAAGAGACACTATCTAAGCTGATGCATAGGAGACTGCCTGGAGAAAATGTGGGAAGAACATTCCAGGTAAAGAAAACTTAAAGACATGTGCTTAAGAAATCTAACATATTCAGTATTACTTGAATAAAATGTTCGTTGTGGAAGGATTTATTGGAGTTGCAGGAGAGGCACCTAAATTATTAAGAAGAAGCTGATCATGAGTTAGGGGTAGTTTATTACAGTCTAAACCTAAAGTTTTAGTGGTAAAACATGATATAGAAGATGAAGTGGGTGTGGGGTCATGAACTTTGTGGCCCACACCAAGGGATTTGGGCTTTGACCTTGGGTATTAGGGAGCTATCAGGGTATCCTAAACCAAAGAGTCACATAATTTGATCACTTTTGTCCTTGAAGCCTTGTGATAGAAGACAGGACCCTGTACTGGAATGAGAACAAGCAGGAAACAAGAATCCAGTTAAGACACTGTTGCAATAGCCCAGGCAAAAGATGAGGAGATCCTCACAAAAGCTGTAATTATAAGGAAAAGATAAAGTCAGGAGGTCTCCAGGCAGTAAACAGATAAAGGGTACTGAGATGGGACTTGACAGATAACTGCATGGGGGCAGTGAAGTCAGGGATGAGTCAGCCATGACTCACCACAGGCCACTGAGTGCATGAACTGACAATGTCGCTGAGGGAGATTGGAAAACAAGACAGAACATATTATTACAATTCTTAGTTAACCTAAATGAAACGTGTACATCCACTACCAAAAACAAGAAACCCCAACAACCTCATAAATAACACATGAGTGAACCATTTAAGTGATGATTTTTCTCAAGGTGGAATAATCTATGTCTGTTATTAGATCTGAATTAAGTTGTTCACCAGCCTAGAGAGTAGACCATTGTATAAATTAGCATGTGGTATTATTGGTAATACACAATATGGTACTTCAGTGCACACTTTTCTTGGTATAGAGTACTAGGGATTAAATATTTGCACTGAGCTACATCCCCAACCCTTGTTTCTCTCTCTCTCTCTCTCTCTCTCTCTCTCTCTCTCTCTCTCTCTTTCTTTCTTTCTTTCTTTCTTTTTATATTTTGAGACTGGAATCACTAAGTTGCAAAGTTTCATAGGCTGGGCTCAAACTCATGATTCTCATGCCCCAGGTTCCCAGAATGCTGGTACTACACACATATACTACCACACACAGCTTGAATATATATTTTTGGTTGTTACTGTTTTTATTCACTTGGTCAAACAAATATTTGTTTAATGGCAACCACTGTTGTAGGTACTGAGGTTAAAATGTTGAAAAGACAAATTTTCTTTCTTCTTCTCCCCCCCCCTTTGGCAGAACTGGGGATTGAACTCAGGGTCCTATGCTTGTCAGGCAAACGCTTATTCCACTGAGCCATCTCCCTGGCCCCGTAAAGACAAATTTTCTGACCTCAAGAGAAAGTCTCAGAGGGACCAGAAATTTCACAAAAAAAATGATTTGAGGTTATAGCTAAAAGATAATTAGTTCTTCCTGAGACAGATGAAGAAAAAAATAAGAGGAAAATAGGAAAGCAGATGCAAAGATTTATGCACTGACTAGTGATAACATTACTGAGTTTATAAGTGGAAAAATAGAGGGAGAGAAGGATGTGAGGTTAGGCAGGTTAGGTAGGAGCCAGATCATGCTGGCTGGTAAAGGATCTTCCCACATCCAGCTAAGGAATTTGCTACTCTAATGAGGGGAAATTTTTGAGCTCAGGGTTGCTTTGGGAAACTGAAAAGTGATAAGGAGGAATGATTAACAGGTAGAAAGTTGCTTTTTGGAAGGATGAAATTTTCTAAAATTAGATCCATAAAGATGTTGCTCATGTGTATAAATATGTATAAAAAACATTGAATTGCACATTTTAAATAGGTGAACTTCATAGTCAATGATGCTGTACAAATGTTTGTAGCCCAAATAAGGCCCTAGGTTCATGGCTGTGTTTCTAAAAAGCATGAGTCGCATTATTTTTTATCAGACTTTATTCTTCCTCCTTATTCCCCTTTACCCTAGACACTAAACCACATGCATAGCAATTAATCAAGAAATACTTAAAAAGAAAGAAATACTTATCTGGCAGAACTGAATGTAGTATAATGATCAACTTTATTAAAATTCTTGGAAAATAATGATTGTATTAAATGGTGTACATAGTTTGTAGATGATCTTATATGCTAAACTATAGCATTTTATAAGAATATTGTGCAAATGTTGAGTTAAAACCATTGCTTTCTTGTTTCCCAAACATCATCAATTTTGTAGAAAAGCAGCATGGGTTACTATTCCTTAACTGATGCATTGCAATTTGTCTTTTAAACAGAAAGTAACATTTTCCATGTAATCTGTAAAAATAATGTGAGATTATTTGTCTGTTTTTGTCCATGACTTTATCATCTTTATTATTAAAAAGAAATCAATCAATCCATTTTAATTTCTCTACCCCTCCCAGGAAGCATTGTCAGTGTTGGGGACCCAAAGAAAAAGTACACACGATTTGAAAAAATTGGTCAAGGGTAAGTGATTGTTATTTGAAATATAGTCAACCAGTCAGTCAAAAAAAAAAAAAAAAGAGCACCAGCAGCTTATTAAAATTCAGAAAGAGTACGGATTCCTGATAAGTTATGCTGCTTATTTCCTGGATTATATTTCTGTGTTACATTCTCAGTTTTGGCCTTTCCAGCTGGCAGGCTAACGGATAATTAACGTAGGAACACATCCTGCTGGAATCTTCAGTATTGTTGAAATGGAAGTACATTTTGGAGGGACATTTTTATTCCTTATATAGTTAACAGATTCAAACTGCTTTATCAAGAAAAGGCAATGAAATTACAGGAACATCTGTCTTTTATACAAACAAAAACATCTATATACATGATGCAGTGAAGGTTTCATTTCTTTATTATATTGCAAAGTAACAGAATGAGGGCTGTGAAAGTCCTGCTGAATGGCCTAAACATGCGCAGGATGGACCACCTGAGTACGGAGGAACCACATCAATAATCCCGAAATGAGATGGGGTACATATTTGTCACATTGTATACTTGTGAAAGGTAAAGGTTTTCAGGACCCTCTGCCAATCTTTTGATTCAGAAATCTGGCACTGGACTCCAGCACTCAAAACTCTGCCGAAATTCCATAGATCATCCTGATCATCAGTTTAGCAAAGCAGCCACAGTGTTTGGTCATTCCCTAGAGCTGCAGATAAGGGAGTCATCAGTTTTGCAAGTCAAGTCTCATTAGCTAGCTTGCTCCAGGCTCGCTGTGAGATTAAGCAGGAGAGTAAGAGCAGGCAACAATGTTAAAACAGGGAAAAGTTTTGTTTAAAGAGCTGTGCTGGGAAAGCTAAAATGATGGTATTACTACTTTCTATCAGTTTTTTTAAGGCAGAAGTTAATATCTAAAATTTTTACTTTAACCAATTTTATACCTAGTATCTGTAATCTGAGCAACTACATTGAAGACAGCAACGTGCAGTACAACAACCCCTGCTGAATGCCTTTCATCTTGGTTTTTTGAATGTGTATCATTTCTAATGGCTTACTCATTATTTTTATACTTTCTTTAAAATAAATTAAAAAATAAAAAAGAGCTGCACTGGGCTGGGGATTAGAGCTTAATGGCACAGTACCAGCCTGGCAAGTACAAAGTCCTGAGTTTCATACCAGGTTAAAGAAAAAAAAAGCTGTACTTTTCCAAGTTCATAAACAAACTTCAACTCATTTTATTCATGCACAAGAGGTAAATGACACCAGATGGGTAGAAAAAAATATTACCTACTAAGGGGGCTCAGAAAACAAAAGCTTGATTTTAGACTTTATTGTACTTTGGTTGGGTCTCAAGCAGAGTTAGCAATAAAGGAAAGACAAGTACCCTGCTTAAAAACATCACTCCAGATATTTGTTTTTCAATAGGTTGATTGTATTTAATTGTTGATCACTTGAAATGTAGCTAGTTCAAGTTGAGATGAGCTGTAAGTGTAGAATGCACGACTAAAATTTATATAAAAATATTTAAACTATATCATTGATAGCATACTAGTTACATGTTGAGATGATGAATATTTGCATATATTGAGTGAAATAAAATTAATTTCACTTTTTAAAAACTTAAAATATAGGTCTAGGAAATTTACAAATAATGCATGCTACATTGTTTCTTGTTTTTCAAAAATATTTTTACTCTTTTAATTAATATAATTGTACATATTTATAAGTAACCATGTTATATTTCAACACATGTAAACACTGATAATATTCAAATTAGTATATTTCTGGAGAAAAATATTTATCTCCAGAAATATTTTTCTATCACTTTCTTGTGCTGAGAACATTCAAAATCCTTTCTTATAACATTTTTTTTCAAAGTTTTATTGATAAACAGATAGCAATGAGATCTTATAACATTTTAAAAATGTACATTCCTTTGTCATTAACTACAATCATCATTCTATACAATAGAGCAGCAGAACTTACCTCTCCTGTCTAACTATAACTTAGTGCACATCCATTGACCAATTTTTCCCTGACTCTCTTTCCCCTCTACTTTCTCTAGCCTCTTGGTGACTACTACTTTGCTCTCAACTTTTATGAGATTAACATTTTTACATTACACATATGAGTTAATTCATGCAGCTTTGTATTCTCTGTCTGGCTTATTTCACTTAGCATAGTATCTCCCAGTTTCATCCCTGTTATCACAAGTCACAACATTTCATCTTTTTATGCCTAGAATAATGTCCCATTGTTCATCTTTGTTTATCTACTCATTAGTTGATAAACCCTGGTGTTTACTCCATTTCTTGCTAGTGTGAATCACACTGCAATAAACATAGGAGTGCAGATTTTCTCTTTATTTTTTATTTATTTATTTATTTATTTATTTATTTATTTATTTCGGTATTGGGGATTGAACTCGAAACCTTGCACTTGGCAGATACTTATGCAACTGAGCTGCATTCTCGGACCAGAATTCTCTTACTGATAGATTCAGACTGGTTTCATTTTCTTTGGATATTTACCCAGCAATAAGAATCCTAAGCCACATGACAGTTGTAGCTTTAATTTTGGGGGTAGCCTCCATACTGTTTTCTATAGGGGCTATACTAATTTCCATTACCACAAAAGAGATGTAAGAGTCCCTTTTCTCTATACCTTCACCAGCACTTGTTATCTTTTGGCTTTTTGCTGAGTGCCATTTTTACTTGAGTGAGGTTATATAGCATTTATTTTGGATTTTCATTTTCTTAATGAGTACAGATACTGAACATTTTCTTCTTATACCTGTTGGTCATTTATACATTTTCTTTTATGCCACATATATAGCTCTGTTTTCAATTTTTAAATTAGTTCACCTTTTCATAAAGTTGATTACTTATATAGTCTGCATTTTAACCATCAGATGTACAGTTTGAAAATATTTTCTGTCATTTTGTATGTTGTCTATTCATTCTGTTGTTTATTTTGATATGCAGAAGCTTTTTAGGTTGATAAAATCAAATGTCCAAATTTTTGGTTATATTTCTAAATCATTTTTCTTTTAATTTTTTGGTGCCAGGAGTTGAACTCAGGACATTTCACTTGCCAGGCAGGAGCTGTGCTGCAGAGCTATCTCCCTGACTCCCTAACTCATATTTCTAATAGACAGTATTGCTGTAATTGTAGGTTTAAATGGGACTATTAATTAATTATAAAATGCTATAAATGCCTGCCTGGTCCTGAGTTCAATCTCCAGTTCTGGAAAAAATGTAATTATAAAATGCTTTATTTTGGTTATTTTGGGGAGGTGGGAGTAAGAGATAGTAAAACTCTGTCATGGTTGTTCACTCTTATTAAGACGCAACTAGGCCAAAAATAACATTGAAGTTAAAAAGTAGCAAAATAATAAGAAGAAAAGGTTTCAAGTATCTTCCAGGTAATGAAGCAAAATTAATTCTTTAAAGAATAAAGATTAGATCACCAAGCAACCTCATATACCAAGGAGATGTCTCCTTCTAGCAATTATTTATACCTCTGACTTTTAAGAGTTAAAAGCCAATTTCTTTATTTTTGAGTATCTTTATTAAGCCTTTATAACCTAAAATGAAAACCCAATACAGAGATCCTTCTGGTCTCTTCAGAAATATCTACCATCAGTTCCTAGCAAATTCATCATTTTAAAGGATTTCACTCACAGGCCCAACAAATAAGGAGAGCCTATTTCATTCCTCTTTTTGTCTCTTTCACCGTCTGGCATAGTACTTTGCACATATAGGCCCTCAAAATGATTTTATACAGCTATGATCAACAGCTAGGTTTACTTTGTATCAGATTCAAAGTTTAATTAGATTCCCCTATTTGCCACACCTTTGTCTTAATAAATATTTGTTAAACTAATTAAAATATTTGTCTTTCTAGCTGTCACCTTTCCTACATCCTGTGTCATTGTGTGTGTGTGTACATACATGTCTGTTTTTCTCTCATTTCCTCAGTGTGTGTTCATCTCTTTTTGTCTCTTGGTCTTTGTCATCACATCTCATCATCTGGTTGATTTTAATATATGATGGTTTCATTTACTACCCCTTCTTATATATGTAGCCAGCCCAAAGTGTCATTATATACAATCAATATATATTTTAAAAATAAATTTGAGCCACGTGTGGTGTCACACACCTATAATCTCAGCACTTGAAAGGTTGAGACAGGAACATTGCTGTGAGTGCACTGCCAGCCTGGACCACATGGTGAGTTCAAGGTCAGCCTGGACTATGCAGTGGGACCCTGTATATATAAATAGCAGTGAATAAATACATAAATATATTAAAGGTTTTGAGATATCATCTAGTAATTTAAATCTATTTACTGTGATTGTACAATTTACTTCATTGACTAATTTTGTATTTGTTCTTAACAGATTCTTCTCTGTTAAGCCTTGAGGTGAATGGGAAGTGTTTTCCTCTTTAGATAAAGGCTATTAATAACTTTGTTTTTACTTAATTAGCTCTCAACCAATTTTGCATGAATTATTGGCCTAAGTTAGACAAACTAGTTACAAATCTCAATGTATAGAGCTTTTATTTTCTTTTTATTAAATTTTGATTTTTTTTAGTGTTTTGCTTTTGCTTCACCTACTTTTATGTGACTTTTAAAATCATGTCAGTAATCATTTGGTTTAAGAATCACCATCTCCAGCATTCCATTTTCAGCTTCAGAGAACACAACAGCTTACTCCTGGAGCAGGATTTGAGAAAATCTCTTCATTAATCAATCACTCTCATCTAGTTGGAAAACTAAATTTTTCCAGTATGAATTTCTGCCATCCTAACATGCAGTAAATCAAATGCAGAATTTCATGTATAATAATTTGAGATCATAGTGGTAAGCTGAAGCCTAAAAATGACAATATTTCGCTAGTTGCTGTGTTTTGTACTTAGCCTCAAAATCAGACAATTAAAGAAGGTCTACACAAAGTTGAAGTAGAAGGAAGGAAGGAAGGAAGGAAGGAAGGAAGGAAGGAAGGAAGGAAGGGAGGGAGGAAG